GCTACCCTGGGCATCTCTGCAGACCATGCCTCATGCTTGGCATCCAACTGGAACTGGATCTGAGTGATTTTATCCTCCAGATGCCTAGAAAACTCCTCTGCGTGGCCCTGTAAATGGGCCACTGTGCCCCCCTTTCCCAAAAGGGATTGGATTATCTTAAACAGGGCTGCTGGGTGGCATTCTGCGGATGCAATAAGTGCAGAGAAATATTGACATTTTGCCACTCCTACCACCACAAGATAGGCCTTAATGATGGCTCTAGCTGGTGTTTGCTCAGGTTTGGTCCTTGTTTTCTTCCAGCAGCACTCTAGGTGACTCTTAACCCTTTTCAAGATCTTCAACTCCTTGTAAACCACGGGGAGTGTCAGGCTCAATGGGTTAAAAGAGGTCACATGTGCGTGATCTTGTCCAAGGCCTTGTCCATTTTCCTATTCCAGGCAGTGGCCAAGGCCTCTGCTGGACTGTGCAGCAGACTCTCAGGTATAACCCCCAGCTCCCTTTGGAACCCCATTGGGTCCATCAGTTGCTAGGGGTGGACCGATTGAATGGGTCCTGCCTCCCTGCGGAGGAAGGTAGCATAGGAGAATCTCAAGGCCACCAAGACATGAACTGACCATGACAAGGGGGACAGGTGTAATTCCTCCTTCAGATCATATTGCCAGTGTTCTGACAAGAAAACTAAGTCTGGTATGAGACCACTGTCCCAAGTTGGGTTACAGATAATCTGGGACAGGCCCATGGCCACCACGGTAGCCATGAACTCTTAAGCTGCCTCTGAGACAATTTCCACTTTAGTCTGTGAATTTGTTTTAAAGTATGTACTCATGGTTTCTACACACATTTTTTTTTCACAGTATATGTGTTTTACATGCAGTTTTTCAGACAACAATTCTCAACATTGAGAAGAACAAAATCTGAAAGACAATTGAGTTCTGATCTGCACATTAAAGATGGAAGTGTAAATCTGTTCACCTAAAAATATAGATAGCCGAGACCTGAGTGATGCTATATCAAGCTAAAAATATTGTGTCTGTCTCAGGTTATATTGAGGTCTCAAGAGATTTACATCTACTCCAAAATTATTTGAATATAAAAGCTTCATGCATATATTTCTCTGCAGACATGATATGGAGTTTAGCTATTGCCAGAGAAAAAAGATACATTACCCTGTTACAATTTACTTGTTAAAATAACACTTATGACTTGTAGAGAACAGAATTGGAAAATGGAGCTTTTTTTTCAAATGCATAGTACAGCCAATTATAATTCATATTTATTCTTATATGTAATAAGTATATGCAAGTATCAATTAATAAACTGAACAAATCAAAATGTGTAATTTTTGCTTTACAGCTTGCAAAAACAATTAGTGTGAATAACAGGAAATTCTGGAGTCTTTGCTTTAAACACGATTCCAAGCTGAAAGCAGCAGTAATGCTACAAGATCTTAGCAGAAGATCTAATTTGCTTTAGGGGAAAAAAAATGAGCAAAACTAATTTAGATGAAAATTTGATGTGCAGCTGAGAAGACATGTACTTTCTTTTGTAGAATAAACTATTACTTCCTATTTACTATATAGCATTAAGATTTCAACATGCTTTTCATGATATCCTTGAATGATAAATTTCATGCAGAAACAGGTCCAACATTTGTCATTTCCCAACTGGGCAGCTGAACCTATATTTGCCTATCGGTTCCTTTGGCAGGGGGAGAATAAAGTTTAGATGCCTATATTCTATTCATTCAATCTCAGTCATGTGCTTTACTTGATGAAAATGCCTGTACTAGAAGGGTTTACAACACACAAGAGTTTGAATACAGCCTGTCTTTTTATCCTGGGTTAAATCTGGGTTAGAATGTGCCTAAGAACAAGAAAGGCTATTTTCAGCAACACAGAAATGAAACATCTGTTCCACTGCCTCAGGGTTGCTTTCAAAAAAGTATGGATACACAGATTTTTAAGGAATAGCAATTACAGTTTTAGAAAGATGTTTTGTGGAAAAAGACACTTAGAAATATTTTGCTTAAAAAAAGCAGAAATATACACTGCTTTTGAATGACTAAATTGGTCAACAGGATCTTTTGATTAGCAAATTTCAGAAAAAAATTGGTTTATAATTTCCAGAGATCCACTTAACAGCTTCAAAACACATAAATTAAATGATTAGAAATTATACAACAGTATGTTTATTAAATTATGTCCTGTAGATACAAATTTGAGGCTAAACTGGTAACATTTTATGAGAAACATTTTATGTATTTACCATTGGCTTAAATCTATGTAGTCTGAGCAATAAAAAGACTTCAGAGTACTTCAGAGCAAAGTAGGACTTGGAAAATTGTATAAAAAATAACTTGCCTGTCTGGGGCTGTCTAACTGCTCATATCAGCTTTCCCCAATCTGATCCCCTTAAGATGTGTAGTTTCAACTCTCAAATTTTCTATCCTTCAAGCCAAGTTGGAAGTCCAAGTGATTTGGAGGGAACTAGATTGGGTGACGATTGTTTATACCATCGTCCTTTGGATCTAGTGATGTTCTTGAGCCAGAATTTATGAGAAATACATGTTTTCATTTTTTTTCCAGTAGAGTACAAAACATCAAGTTAACAAAGTTCCTGAATTATAGGAATATTTAACCTCTTACCGCTGATTGCCTGCTAAAGGCTGAAGGTAGGTAGCTGCTTGCTGATGAATGTACCCACTTGGCTGCTGTTGCATCTGCCTTAGTCTTTCCATTAGAACTGGACTGGAATGAGTTGGTTGGAATGATCTAGGATTGTAGGTAGGTGAAAGAACTATGCCCCCTGTCTGTTGAGATTGCAATGACATCTGAGTACTATACATTGTATAGCCATGAGGAATTGTCTGTATGGAAAACAATTCAAAACACACTCTTCTGACTCTTATTTTTCTAAAAATCTATCCATTTTACTAGTTTTAAAAAAAGTTTTAAAAATAACTTGAAATAGGAACCAAACACTGAAATATGTACATTCTATCCCATTTTCTTTCCTAGGCTCAACTGGGTGTTCTATACATTCTTACGGCTTTCATGTCAATTCCATTTTTTTGTTTGTTTGTTTAGCAGAAAATCTAGATGATGTGGAAGAAATGAAAGGTAGAGAAGTAGGTGCCTCCATGTAGGGCAGTTTAGGTGCAAATGGGTGAAATATCAATGGTTATGGTAATATTTTTTCAGCTGCTGCAATTGTGTTACCCATAGGTTTTGCATAAAGACATTAGTTCACAGAAATAATATCTATTAGTAGTCATTGCTTGGCTACAGCAACTTGGCAAGGCCATTCATTTGTATTTAGGTTAATCTCAGAGTAAGGGGAGTCATAAAAGAGACTGGCCATTTAAGGATTCTCTTATATTTTTCAAAGATTATAAAACCAAGTTTACTACCTCCACTATCATATTTCTCTGAACCCCACATGGGCCAATTTTTAAGAGGGGTGCTCTACCTGTGACTGCTGTATCCCGGGATATTGTGTTAGCTGAGAAGAAGGGCGGACTTGTTGAGCAAAAATAGCAGCCTGTTCAATTGTTGGACCCTGTAAAACAGTTTACAAATAAAAATAAATGCTGCTTGCTATATATTAAAAATATACCAGTCTAAAGACACCAATTTGGAAACAGCAAAAGAGGGCTGATAGATTGACATGCAGTTTATAAGCAAGTAGGTTTCTTAAAACAAAGTGTAAGAGTAGGCTAGTAAGATTAGAATCTTTTTTTTCAGTAAAATTGTTTTTGTGGGTAGATTCCAGCTACTCTAAAATCTCTAAATTCTGTCTCCTCAATTGCTGTCCAATCTATTCTCTGCCCTACCATTAATTGAGGCAAATGGTAGATGGTGATGGGCAGAGAATAGCAGTGAAAGTTTGGGATAGTAAGCATGTATGCACATAATCTGTGCTATATTCTTTAAATTGGATTACCTTCCAGTATTCACAGTCTAGTCAATTTTGGGATGTGGAATGAGGAGATAGTATTTTGTCCCCTACCTCAGGTAGCAAAATATAATGGTCCAGTTCTGGTCCTGCATGTATACACTAAGCTTAATTTGGACCCCTTCTTTATTTCCTTTGCTTCAGTGTCCTACATGAGTAAAAACTGAAATAAATCAGTGTACATCCATCCTAGTCCTAGATATAAGACAATACCCTTTGAAAGGTCTTGCCTGACTCTGGTGCCTCAGAATCCGCTGCTGTTGTTGCTGGAGCAGCTTGATCTGAAGTAACTGCTGCTGCTGCTGTGAAGTAATAGTGTGAATTGCTGGGGGCTGCATCATATTGCCAGAACGTCTCTGCAGCATGTTAGAGAGCACTTGTTTTGTGTTGCTTTGGACAAAGGAGCCTGTGGGATCCAATCTGGAACCACCTTCAAAGACATTGATTAACAGAACAATTATGTAATCACAAAGCCTGTTCAAGATGTGATGCTACTGGTTGAGAGTCAAGCTGCCTACTCAACTTTAATCAGGTTATTTTTGTAGTCATTACATTTTTTAACTGCGCACCAGCAAAAGTTCTCTGGGCATAGAACATATATTTTAAAGGTAAAATAAAGGCAATAGAAAGGCAATATAGGTTAAAAGTATCTAAGATCCAACATTACTATAGTAGTATAGTATAGTATAGTACAATACAGTACATTATATTTTATATACTATAAAATACTGTGTGGATAGGATAGGATAGGATAGGATAGGATAGGATAGGATAGGATAGGATAGGATAGGATAGGATAGGATAGGATTTTTAAAATATAATAAAATAGCATAAACAATAAACCAGAAGTTTAAACATCTGTTCTCCTCTACTCAGCAGTTTCCAGTTCACCTTACTCCACTGGCCCCCTGGCAACAATATCTACTCTAAAATTTGTAAATTCTGTCTCCTCAATTGCCGTCCAATCTATTCTCTGCCCTACCAGTAATTGAGGCAAATGGTGATGGGCAGAGAATAGCAGTGAAAGTTTAGGATAGTGTGCATACATGCTTACAAGTAAACATGTCTTGCAAATACTTCTCCCTCCCCAATAGGACCATTCCTTTCCTTTAGGATTGTTGCCAATCCTGTTCCCTGCCTAGGCTTATACTTGTGCTACTGCTCTGATGCAAGTCTGCATTAGCCAGGGAAAAGTGAACCATCACATTCTAGGCAATCTTGGGGTCCATTATTTCTGGCCGTTAGTAAACAAATGCCTTAAAATATCACAATAAATAAAGAAACAAATAAGTTATTTTTTCCAGCTAAGATGTCTATAGGATAGAACAAGAAATTCGAAACATTTTAATTAATCTTAAATGTAGTTGAAACACTAAATGATGCAGATATACTTTGCTATTGCCTTCTTCTGGGACTATTTTCAACTTTCCAATCTAGCGTAAAGTCCTGGGATTGCAAGATGTTCTCTCATCCAAGTTCTAACAAAGTCAATCTTGCTTAACGTACTAGATCCACCAAGATCAACAACTGTAACCTGATGAGACTAATTGTTCTTAACATAGTATTTAAATGTTGTTCTTGATCACCTTTTCAAGGAGAAGAAGTCATGGTTGCTTATAAGTGCTAGATAAGCCATTATTGTCCATGACAAGTGGAATTTATCCTACCAACATTTCTGAGAGGCCCAGATTGGAGAGACATGGAATTATTCTATTCCATGTTGAATGGAGGGGAAAAAGTTGCTGTTCAAAGATCCTGGATCTCTTCTGGCCAGCTACATCACGCTGTAACACAGCTTGTCCTGACAAAGTACCCTCTAGATATATTGGGCTACATTTTTCATCATCACCTGCCAGCTTGATGATAACTGCAACATATACAGAGGGCAGCAGCAACAAGGCCAAAGATGTTACTGGATGGAGATGATGACAGTTGCAGCCCAACATATCTGGAAGATTTGAATGACCAAGATTTGAAATCCTAGCCAGGCCAACAAGGACAAAAATGAACATTATAAAATGTTTCCCTTAAAAATGATTATTAAAAATATCATCTGATTTGGAAAACCATTAATAAGAATCCATTCTTTAAATGTCTTGATTACATAACTGTTTCTAGAATTGTTAGCAATAAAAACGTGTTTGATCTGAAGCTGGGATTAGAAATGAACTTTAGTAAATAAGTAAATAAATAAATCTTGAATATTTTGCTAGAGTACAGAAGTTGCTAACCCTTAAAATCTAAAGTCCTGCTTTGCTCTCCTCTAGAATATGTGGGAAAAATTGCCATGTAATTTGAAACTCTGGGTTGGGGGGAAATATTATAGAAATCAAGTGTCAATTGAAAATCGCCCTACCATATAATTTAAATCTTCTTCCTAATGAAAGCTGAGTTATTTATAACAGAAAACAAAAACAAGCTATATTTTAAGCAATTTTGAACCCTTTTATTGGAATAATACATCAACCACAAATAAAGTTCCCTTTATTTTAAGCATATTCATGAAGTATGAGTACTTTCTAAAGAACATAATATAAAAAAGAGAATTGTTTTCCTGTAACAGAATTCCCTGCATTTCACCTTTACCTGGTGGAAGAGGCTGGTTCTGGACAAAGTAACCAGTCTGTGGGGGCTGTCCTATAACACTGTAGCCCCACAAAGCAGACTGGGGGTGATGCATCATTTGAGAAGAAAGTGGTGAAAAATTAGGAGCCATTCTACATCCATTGTTCTGAGGATACTCCTTAAGCAAAATAGGAAATAGTAAACATTATTGACATTCAAACCCTACCAATTCATAAATAATGCCATTTTTTCGACTGAATTATTAGATAATTTATTACTATTCCAATTAGGCTTTATTACACATAAAGTTTGGCTATCTCATAATGCTTGGTCTTCTATTTTTTTCTGCATACCATTAACTTATCAACTGCACCTATAATTATATCAAAGCCCCAATATCTAGGCAATTAGAAACATATATCTAGACTTCACCAAAGGAAATTACAGGAAGGAATTAGGTAAGCTGTCAATAAATTCAAGTTTTTAAAAAATGAAGCTTTCTAAATTTTATTCTTTCAAGAAATACTTTCCACATTTTGATACCACAGTATCCTTGTGCATTGTCAAGGACTCTTAAGCATGTTCTAAGATGTACGTTATGAGTATATAACACAGGCCAAGTTTGTTGGGCTTCACTGAACAAGATACTTCTCTTCAATTGTACATTGAAATGTGAGATTTCATCTTGATAGTGGTGAGGAAATTGCCCATTATTGATGGTTTCACTGAGGGACTTAAGATCTTGTAACACAAGCTAAAATCAAATGGTCTAAGGCAGCAGTTCTCAAAGTATGGTCAGGAGAAGTCAAATAAATAAATAAATATTTTTAAATTTCTCTGTTTTAATTTCTAATACAGTAATTATTGATAGATATAACCCACATACAGTAAACCAAAGTTCTTTGGGGCCCTCAATTATTTTTAAGAATGTAAAAGGGTGCTGAGACCAAAATGTTTGAGAACCGCTAGTTTATGTCAATGAATCTATTGTAGGATATACTGGAATTAGAGTCCTAAAATAGTCCTCTTATTTTAACCTTTCATTAAGCATTATGCAGCAGTAGTGCCTTTACTGAAGCACTTCTGAACAGATTTTACATGAAGAAGGTCCAGGAGGACCAATAGGACTGTTTAGAAAAGAAAACTGAATTAATGTCCATCACCACATAATGTGCAGCCAGTTCTATAAATTAATTTGGGAGATATTCTTTCTCATCTCCTTTCAGTTTCATTGATAGGATGGGATTCAACCTGAAAAATTTTCTAAAACTTTGTCTTGCTTTCCCAATGTATTTGAGAATTTAAAAAATATTTCAAGTATTATGGGAGCCAGTTACAGAATGAAGCCTGGTGGTACATTCTAGTGGTTTTCCCAAAATAATCAGTGCTGTCTTGATCTTGAAGAGGAAGCAAACAGTTCTGCAAAAGTGTTAACGGCTTGTAAGCTATTCTGCTAAATCAGTAGAGATGACTAAGTTCTCTACTCATGAGGGTCAAAGAGATTAGGAAATCAGTCATGAAAGGAACTGCTCTTATAAAGGTTATGTTGCTTCCACAAGCCATTTATGATGAAACTACATACTCTAGTACTGAAAAGCTATCACACACTTCCCTTATCCAACAGGCAACTGATGCAGAAGAAAGCTTTTATCTAAAAATAGAGTAAACCATATGTTTCATTGCAGGATATTATCTAAAGATATATGACAAAGCCAACTGGATGTAATTAAGCAGGCCAATATCTGGATGACAGACAACTTGGGAGCCCAACAGACATCATTTTGATTTCTATGGAGAAGATATGGTGTGTGTGTGTGTATTTACAAACATCAAGTATCTTCATAGATGTGGAAGGGAATTTTAAATTCTGCCATTCTGTAAAATAAAGACTGGCGATGTAGCTTCTATGATGCTTCTAGAGTGGGACATATGTGAGGGACTGAGTGGACAGCTTTGTCTCCTGTCCTCCTGGAGGGCTGCAAGATGTCACCTGATGATGAAATGACACTACTGAAAGGGGCAGGATCAGCATCTTATCAGCCCATTTTTTAAGGGTGCAGATGGAAACAGGAACCTTCAGAATCTCCAAAACACCTTCCCCCAATTGCCCAAATTCTGACATTGTTATTTTCAGGTTGATTTGAGTGAACTAACTTATGAAGTTTTGGGGAAAAAAATCATGCTTCGAAAGTGTGGGCATATTGAAACCAAATTACAATGGCATGCTCTTAGGATGGAGGAAGCATCAATGGAGTGCTAGAGTCCCACAAATTGGCCATCCCCAACCTAAAATATCCAAAATCTCATAAAACTGACTAATCTGATGAGATGTATGTGCCTTTGCATACAGATCTTATATTTCAGGCATTTTAAATGTAATTTAATTGTTTTTAAATCTTATCTTATTTCTTTCATGTCTGCTACCTCACATGAAATCATCAGATGGTCATCAGCACCTGAAAAGATTGCCAATTCATGCAATAAGGTTTTCTTCACTTTATGAATTTTAACCACTTACATCAGTTTTGGAAGCTGATTTTGTCTTTCTTTTTCTGCCCTTCCCCTTTCTTTCTTCATCTGCTAAAGGTTTTCCCTGATCGGAAAGCTCAGCTGACTTTCTTTCTGGTTCCTGAGATTCAGGAGTAGTAGGCTCTTCTTCTTCCTCCTCCTCTTCAGGAGGAAGAGGTAAAGGTTCGAGGTAGTAACTTCGTGGCTTAGGTTTAGGGTGTGTGTGGTAAAGCAGAAGGTGCTGCTGCTCCTCATATTTTATTACTTTCCTATCAACGCGAACTGTTCCAAACCAAGCCCAAGACAATGGAGCAGGAGTCTTATTCCCTTCCAATAAATCCCATGGGGATACTTTCTGTTTCATCGAGACTTGGAGCCCCTGTTCCAAAAAAATGTACGTATACCAATGTAAAATGACAGTTTGCTTGATCATACTTTTATCTTCTAATTTCCAAATACCCAACATATAATTGCAGTTTATGAGCAAAATGTTGCTTATTGAAACAGTTATGCATATAATTGTCAGAGGAAAGCATCAGTAATGTAATGTATGGAATGTATTAATTCTATGATATTTTACATGTCGGACTGAAACATGTATAAACATGAGATTAAACAGGTAATAGAACAAAGCTGCAAAAGAGATTTTGACACCTTAAAGATCATCAGATTTGTTGTGACATAAATATTATAGTTATACGTGTCTGTGGAGAACAGAGGAAAAGAAAGTATGTAATCAATGGGGCAAATGGTTTTTAAATAGATACCGTCTGTGAGGATTCTATGTAAATCTTAAAGCTACAGATACAATAGTCGTTCTCTTATAGACTACAATTACAAGCACCATTCTTACTTATGAATACACTACACATTTATTCAGTAGCATTACATGATATCATTTCAGGATTCTGTAGAATTATCAGAGACTGTTCCAGCATTTGGCTCCACTAATTACTCCCTTTCTCCCATGACTCTGAACAAATACACTGATAGATAAATTTGAAAACGTGACACAAACGTGTTTATGTGAAAATATATGTATGTGTATGCAGGGCTGGCTCTAGACATTTGACACCTTAGGCAAAGTCATGTTCTGGCACCCCTAGGCCGGTGTCTACTTGGCTTTAGCCTAGAGCTGGCCATGTGTGTGTGTGTCATTCTAATAATTTATTTTGCTTCTACAGAAAAAACATTTTCTTATTTAAACAGTATGATGGTACTTGAATATAAACATAATAAAAGGATTTACATGCCATAAAAAGGGAACTGCTAGGGTCCTGTGCCTTATGCCAACAGAGACTGAATAGAATATATTAAAGTTCTACCAAATTATATTCACGAGAAAGTTGATACATCAGGAAGGTTTTAAAGAAAATGCTTATCCTTGCCTGTTTCTTATCTATGGAGTCAAATCCAGCAATTTTGTTTCCCTTCGTATCAATCAACGATCCCATAGGCTCACAGGCAATAATGTCACACATCTGTTTGGGCAAGGGCAGGAGCTGACGAACTTTGTCAATACTTTCTGAACATTTATCCCCTAGTTCTTTCTATAGGAGGGGAAAAAAGAAGTAAAGAATGTTAAAAAGCAGTTCCAGCCCAGAAAAGTTTCAGATGAATCATTTCCTTGTACTTTTACTAATTTTATTCAAGATGTGCAGCACAGTTTTTCAATAGTGCTTCCTAAGCTTTTCTTTTCTCCTGCTGGAACAAAAATTACAGAAATGAGTATTAATTGCTCATCCATCCATCCATCCATCCATCCATCCATCCATCCATCCATCCATCCATCCATCCATCCTTCCTTCCCTGTCTGTCTACCATCTGTCATCAGAGAGCTATGGATAAGAATTCATTTTAGCATTAGGCTACCCAGATCAGAATTAGGTATTCTGACAAGCACAATCTGTCCAAGGTCTCAAGCATAAGTTTTTCCTAACTTTTGCTACCAAGAATTTTTAAAGCGGCAATGCAAAGGATTGAAGCTGGGCCCTTTTATTTGTAAAACATGTGCTCTGCTTAATGCTGCTTCCATAAACAAATACTCCTTGATGCGCATCTTGATATTTCCTCACAGAAACAAAGGAAGGTACCCTATATCAAGTCAGATTATTTGTCCATCTAGCTGGCTATCATCTACTCTGAAAAAATCAGGGTTTCAAGCACGACTTCTCTGCCTCACATCCTACTTGACCCCCCTTTTTAATGGGGAAGCCAGGAATTGTCTCTAGGCCTTTTGGTATGCAAAGTGTATGAACTAACAAAGTTGGAGGAATTCAAACTGAATATTTTATCCATCCATAGAGTCAGCTTTTCCACACTGAACACAGCTAATCCATGTGAGGAAGTGATTTTTTGAGAATCAAGGAATGTTACTTTCATTACTTTGATTTAAATCACATTGTTTGTGTAGACTTCCTCTTAATTAATCAAGTTAGTATATTACTACTGCACTAAGCCTTTGTTTGTTTGCTTATTTCTGCTGGATTGCAACAGAGGCAAGACAGTTTAAAATTTGAAAAGTGAAGCACCTCAAAACGTAAATGTTCTTCTCTTAGTAATTCTGCAGAGGCAGTTGATACTTTATTCCACTCTTCCCCAACCTGACATCTTTCAAATGTGTGGGGTCTCTACAATTCCAAGTTTCCTTATTATGGCCACTGTTTGTTTTTATCCCACCTTTATTTTTGGTCAACTCAAGGTGCATACATAGCTAATGC